GTACATTTGCTATTATGTTAAACTTATATTAAAGTTTTTCTTCATTACCCATTCAAACCGTCTCCAACCATTATTAGTCTCAAAGTGGGTTCCTCGTCATCGAATTTACTATCCATGTGTTGTTATAGTTTGATTATTTGTTTATATCTAAAAAAGTATAAGGTTGTTATTTCTTAGTAAGTCTCAGTAAATTTACGGTGGAGTAGGAACAGAGGGCCTGCCCCCAATAATAGTTGAGGGGGTTAACATATATTTTGCCCCAACCGTATATTTCAAAACCTTTTGCGTTTAAAAGAGAAAGGTCGACGTCGTGGAATCTCTGTAGATGTATAGAACTATAATTTCTGTTTGTTCGTTTTAGAGCAAAGCCATATTGAGTATCTGCTATGTCCATCGCGGGCAAACGCACCCAGGATTTTAGCGTTGTAAGTCCGTAAATATATTGCTATCCCACTGGAGGATCTATCCTGAATTTATTTACTTTTGTTTTAAGTTGTTGAAAAGACTTGTTTATTGACAATCTTTAAAATTAACCTTTTCTAAACTGTGCTTACCTGTAATCAAAATAATGCATTTCCACTCTAGAAGATTCCTACACCATATTTTGCACCAGAATTTTTATTTACCTTTTATATACGATGCTTGTTTCTTCTGGCCTTGTTGTTTGATAATTTATAAATATGTATATATATATATATATAACTTAAGTACGCTGAACGAGCAAGAATAATTAGGGAATGATACATTTATGAACTGATTATCTCTAACCAGAGATTTATTCCAAATTGATAGGTACAGTGATTATAATATTTTTTACTTCTTGGGAAGGTTTTTCTTCTACACTGTACACAACTTTATTTTGCTAAATGTTCATGAAAACGAACTGATTGAATTTTCAGGCACTAATAGATTAATGTTTGTTTGATGAGTCAGATAATAGAATAAGTCCCACGTATAACTTTCCTTGGTGGAGTTTCAATTGTTTTAATGTTTTTTTGTACTAATTTGTATGTGTATGAACGTTTTCTTTGTTTCGTTCATCTATTAATACAAATGTACAATAGCCTGCCAATGTAACATGAAATTTCTCGTTGCACCACGGTCTCAATCATAACAATGAGTCCAATGGAATTTGCAGTTGCTTGATTTTTACGTTTTATACCTATAAGCAAAGTTTTTATTTTGATGTAATATTCCAGATGTGTCAGATCCCTTGCATCCGGATGTTTTGTAGCTTACGTTGTTTGGTGTTAACTGTATAACAAAATCTTATTGGGGCACCAAAAAGAAAACACAGCGTGAAAACCCAGAATTATTGTGCCTAACACTAATGAACTTGGAATTTAAAATGTCGCCTTTGTTCGATAATGAGAACTTTGATAAATATTACTTTCGATAATTTTATAATAACAACATTTTATCTCATATAGGAGCATATATGTAACATCCACTTAAGATACATATATATTTGTAATTAGCTTTGTTGAGGTATACATATCACGTATAGAAGTCAACTAGGCTTTGCGTCTACGTGCTCAAGACAAATAGCAATGTAACACTCGGCAATCTGATGATCGGTTGGAGTCATATATGCACTTGAGGAGTGAAGTCGGAATTAAAGATTACAACATATACACGTAATGTTATAACATAACAGGAACCCAGAAAGGTATAAAATCGCATTGAAAATTATCTAAATAATTTATATTAAGCAAGCATCTCGGAAACAAAATACTAACTTGAATTACTGTTACGTAGCTTGATTCTAAATATAGTTTTAGAGTGTTCTTTTAGCTTTTTATTAAAAAATTTAAGGAAATGCCAATTGCTAAATATTTTATCTTTCATGAAATCATCATTTAGTTCGAAAAATATGAACAGTTCTGAAAGGACAAGTTGCGGAGACATATATTAAAAAAAGGGGGCGGGGAAAGCCTCTCCGAAAATAAATTGGATAAAAATGGCGAAGCAGTGAGTTGTGGGTTGCAGCTGCACGTGTATTTGCCAGAAAGCGCTATCTTTATATCAGACACTAAGTTGAAAGAACATGTAGGTGATCGATAAAGCCAGCAGAGCGACTATCGATTAGCTTGTTTAAACCTAAGAATCAGCTCTCTTCCGTTG